AACAGAAAACTTGATCGATGACAACATTCCCCAAAAGGATCATCCTCTTAAAATAACAGAAGAGGACATTAGTAAAAACAAAGAGGAAAGTAAACAAGAGGAAGGTAAACAAGAGACCTCACCTCAGATGCCTCAAGATTGGATATTTGCAAAAGATTATATGTTGGATCAAGTTCTATGCGACATCGAGAAGTACAAGATTATAGGTTATTAATTTTTGTATGTATTTTGCTTTCATATCTCAGATTGAACCTAAGACAATATTTGATGCCTTAGTTAACGAGGGATGGTTACTTGCTATGTAAGAAGAACTCATTCAATTTAAATATAATGACATTTGAGACCTTGTTTCGTGTCCATCCAATAAAACATTCATTGGCACTAGATGTGTGTTTAGGAACAAACTAGATGAGAATGGAATAATTACTAGAAATAAAGCTAGGATAGTGGCAAAAGATTATAGTCAACTTGAAGGAATAAACTATGATGAAACTTATGATCATATAACTCGTCTTAAAGATATTAGACTCCTTTTAACTTTCACTTGCTACATGGATTTTAAATTGTATCAAATGGATGTTAAATAAGTTTTTCTTAAAGCCTATATAAATAAAGAAGTCTACGTCTCTCAACTTCCTGATTTTGAGGATCATGAACATCCAAACTATGTTTTTAAACTAAAAGAGCCATATATTGGTATGTTTCTTAAACTCACATATTTCTTTTATATCATTGTTTGTATTTTGTTCATATATGTTCATTTGCTTACTTCTTACATTCCTTATTTTATTCATTCATTCATAAGTTGTTGTATGATTTTTCTATTGCATTTAATGTCTTTTTTAAATGTGTGTTGTTAATTATGTGCACTTGAGCATTATGCGTCTTTGAGTTTATTTATTTTATTTGTCTGATTTTTTTTATTATGGCTATTTTTTTCATATTATAAAAATATTTAAAAAAAATCAAATAAATAATTGATATTTTAGGTTAAGACCATATTAGGACAAATTATGGATTATTAGGGAAATTAGGGACTAATCCTTGTTAGGACAATTAGGGTTCACAATTCATAAATAAAAATCCAAAAATACGTTAATTTTCAACTTTAAACTCTTTTCAAACAGAATTAGACACTAATCATCCTTAGTCGAGATATAATTCTCCTACCCCATGACATAATTAAGAAATATGTTGATTTCTTTTTCACTTGAGAGAGGTACGTGGAATACTCGTCGATTCTAAATTTGAGTTGGAACTCTTCTCCCGATGCAAAGCAAATACTGTCTTCCACATACTTGTGGTGGTTTAAGTCGAGTTTTCTCCCTAAGATGACAACATGTCTCTTCTCCTAGAATCAATCAATAAACTTCCCTTCTGGAACCTTGGCCACAGTCAAGAGTTCCTCAATCCCTTTAGGGGAACTACGAATGCTCTGATTCTGTTCCCGTCAGGATACTTAATAAAACCCTAGGTTCACCTTTAGCAAACAACAATAACATAATAAAACAAGAGGTTCCTGTAGAGTACTACAGATGCTTAGGATGCTAACACCTTTCCTAGGTATAACCAACCCCCAAACCTTAGATTCTCTAGCTTTGCATTACATTGTATACTTTTGAGTTATTTCGATCTTTTACCCTTTCCTTGGACAAATTAAAGACCGATGGGGAATAATGATTTGCGATTCAAGTTAATCAATAGCTTGGTATCCAATTCTCACAGCGACACTATGTAGCTTGTTCATCTCAAGTATTTAGCTTGTATTAGGCGAGTTAAGCCTTCGCTATGTAGCTTGCCCTTCGCTAGTGTTTGACTTTCCACCAATTATCCCCTTTTAAGATCCAATATCTTCGGATCCATCACGTCTCATACTTTTTTCTAGAGAAATTAAATTTTTAGATCCACCTCAACTGAGAGCGCCATCCTATCTTTTTATGAATTTCTCAATGGAATATATATTACTCGTATGTCATTCCTAAATAAAAGAGAAATGGTATCCCAAAAGCAAAATATATTTCGGAGGGCTAGAGAAATATACCAGAAGATTATTGCAGCAGGATACAAGGATTAATCCAGGTTCGATGCTCTTCAAATATCTAGGTGTACCTTTGAATAACAAGAAGTTGTCCATTAATAATTGCCAACCGTTGATAGATAAGATGGTTCAACGCCTAAAACACTGGAGTACATGACTGTTATCTTATGCAGGAAGAATACAACTGGTCAAAAGCGTGCATAAGGTGATTTTCCCCTACCCAAAAAGGTGATTACTCATGTGGAGGGGCTTTGTAGAAGATTTGCGTGGACTGAAAATGATGCTGCTAGCCGTAAAGCTCCAATATCGTGCGATCACATTTGTGATCCAATTTCTGTCGGAGGGAAAAAAATATTATTTCCTTAGTTGAATGGAAGAAAGTTACTTTTGGAAAATTATTATGGAACGTGTGGACCAAGAAAGACATTTTATGGATTAGATGGTTACAAGCATATTACTTGAAAGATGTAGCAGTCACAAAGTATCAACCAACCAACAACTGCTCTTGGGTGGTAAAGATAATTTTCAAGAACAAGGAGTTGATTATAAATTCTGAGCCATGGCAGTAATTTCAAACCGCGGGTACGTATTCTACTAGTGCAATGTATACATCAATCCGAAGGACCAAGCCAAAGGTTGAATGTCGTGTTCTACTTTATGGCAATCAAGCTAGACCTAGAGCTAATTTCATACTATGAATGATATGTCAAAACTGTCTCATGATAAAAGACAGAATGGTGAAATTTGGAATGGAAACGGATGGTCGATGTCTTTTTTGTCAAGGGCAAGAAAGTTGTCATCATATATTCTTTGCTTGTACACATACAAAACAGGTTTGAAAACAAGTTCTTCATGGTTTCAAAATTGACCATGAACCAACTGTTTGGAATGAGGAAATAAAATGGTTGCTTCGAAACACGCGAGAGAAAAGTAAGAAAGCAAAACTCATTAAATGTGCGATTGTAGAAACAACATACCATGTGTGGGCTATCAGGAATCAAATTATTTTCAAAGGTTGTCATGTAAATGCCTTAGTGTTCTGGCCTGGGCCCCGACTTGGCCAGGCAGGCCCAGCCCAATAATATCCTGCCAAGCCCAGTCCAACTTGGGCCGCAGCCTCCGAGCACAAGGTCCCCGACGGACAGGTAATGCCCCTCCGCGGGCAGAACCTGCCCACCTGTGTCGAGCGTAAGACTCCCCCATCAACCAGACACTGCCCTCTCCGCGGGCAGAACCTGCTCCCCTGTCGGGCAGGACAATGTGTCCTTCACACGTTCTCCACGTGTTCCCCTCCACGGGGACACGTCACCGACCAACTGTCCACCTCCGAAAGAGCAGGTCAAACCCACTTTCCAGAGATCACGGGACAGTTGGACTAGGGCGAAGACCACGTCCTGGTCTTCACTACGCCACGTAAGCCCTAACAGTCACTTGGGTTGGGCTTGGCAATCCAGTCCAACACAAGTGACCGTTGGTCCCGCGCTGGGGTCTCTCTCTATAAATACTCTCTTTCACAAGAGGGTCAGATAATTCGCTTCTTACCTCTTTTTCGGTGCTTGTGATCACTCTGCCCATACACTTACTTTAGCATCGGAGTGTCTTACAGGTACACCCCCTCCTCTTCTTCAATACCGGTGAGCAGGCAACAAGTCGAACACGTGTGGCAGCCAGCGATCCCTTTCTGATCAGGTCAGATCACTTAGATAGTAGACTAGTTAAGGAAATTATCCTCCTTCGATTTGAAAAACATAGAAATTTTTAGAATACTGTAATATAAAGTGAAGTAGTGGATACTTAAAATTTTCCTTGAGTTGTTTTGTTGACTGGGTGCGTAGATGATATTAGATCGACTTGTCTTGTCCTGTTTTTTTGGTAATTAATATATATATCCCATATTAAAAAAAAAAAAGGCATAATAGTACCACAAAACAATATATCTAAGAGTTAATAATAAAATTCAACTCCACTTCTCTTATCATTCTCAAAACACAAGCCAAAACAAAATTTTGATTTTTTTTCTTGGCAATTAACTAATTATATTTTCTGTTGTAGTTTATTTATGGACTTTTCTTCGTAAAATGATTAAAAAAAAAGAAGATATATTTAAGAAAAAATAAACAATTAAATCAAAACACTAAATCCTAAAAATAATTAAACCGAACAGCTTGTAGTTTCAACTAAACTCAACCGCCAAGATAACGGATGCGGAGTTGGTCGTCGGCCGGACAGGTTTTCCTTCTCTTTTTCTCGTCGTTTTGATTTGCGGCAACGACAGCCACCGCTGCTAAAGGCGTCGCATGTGCACTCCGCCGCACCGCGATTCCCAATTAATCGGTACAGCAGCGCCATTAACAACATAGATTTAGATCAATTACTAAGAAATATCATTTAATTACTTTTTTTTTAGCTTAGCTGCTTCTACGGCTATATTTAGTATAGTACTCTGTGATGCTATAGTATTGTATGTTGGTAAAGAACCATGGAAATGGGATGATATCTGAATCAATATTTGTATTTGGAGAGGGTCTGCTTCAATAATTTCCATTCTAGGGTTTGCTTAAATCGAAAACTTGGATTTCCATCTTAAATCAATTTCATTGATTTCATATAGCAAAATCCCGGTTGCATAAAGGCTTTTGCGATTTTGGTCGGTACTGGTGTTGCGACACTGATTGCTTTCATCGTCGTCGCAATGTGAATTAACCATAATTTGTTCTTTAACATAAAAACGGTGAATAAACGGTATTGGTATCGGCACCTGCCATCACTGTTTTGTTGCGGCCAATACCGTTTTGTTGCGGCGGTTTTTGCAGCCACGGAAGTCTTGTTAGTTGTGTCTTTTTCATGGATAAACTGGAAGTAATTTGCTAAAATCTCGTATTTCTAAATCAGGCCAACACAAATTGCTGGAATTGAGGTTCTGATTAGAGTGAATTGGTTTATATTTAAGGCCGAATCAAATATGGCTACATCTGTTATGAGCAAGGACAACTATATTGGCAGGAGCTGGAAGCAGAAGGAGTTGTTTTTCCTCGTGACTTATGTACTTGGTTTCTATGTTATCATCATTAGACGTTCCCTTCAACTCTCTCACGGTATATTTCCTATTTAGGACTTTTCCCTGTAACTTGTTTCTGTAATTATGTCTTCTGCTGGGTTTTCTCTTATGGTATTTTCAGCTTAACTGGTGAGCAATGCATTGTGCACTTTGTTTTTTTAACCACAGATCACTATACAAAACTATTCGGTTTACGTCCAGGATGGCTTATACCTCAACACCTCAATGTATGATTGTGCTCTTTCTATCGTTATGACTATTTGTATGTAAGTATTTCGGTAGTTGGTTTGGCTTCTGTTGCATTTTATTGCTGATTAAATGTATGTCCTGTTCATGTGTAAAGGATGTCTCAGATGCTCAATGGCGGAATTTCCGAGGAAATTTACCTGTTCTAACTCTTGTATTTGGAGTTTTCACTCTTCTGGCCAACTTGACGAGGGCTTTCTTCAATTTGAAAGTGAGAGGAATGTCCATTATCTGGCTTTTATTTTCTTTCATCTACCTATCATATCTGCATGGAGCATGGTATGGAATTTGTAGTTCATTTTGATGTTGTTTCTTTTACTATTGACATCATTTACGTTGTTTAGTCTAATTTTGTGTTTGTTTCACTTTGCAGCGTGATATTTGTGCTCTCAATAGCGACTATTAATTTTCTTCTTGTTAAGGTCCGTGTAGCAGATCCATGTATAAATTCTAGTTGCAATATTTCTACCTTTTTTTGACAATAATATCTGTAATTGGAATGTGTAATTTGTTGGTTTTGATTATTAACTTAAACTTAAAAGCCTCATGTCATGACAATCTTCTTTTCTTTTATAAAATTTATGGTATATCATATCAGATGTAAGTATCTAGTGAAAAGACAATTATAAAATTTCATTAATTAGTCACGTGAATCACATCACCCTGCTTAAAATATGAACGAATTTTATTGCTTGATTTCATGTTGACTATTTGAAGATTTTTAATGTGGTATTCATGTTAACTCTTATTTATTTATTTATTTTAAAATTAATGATTGCTTAATGTCCTTCTATCCACATTTATGATCTACTTGTTCCTAAAATAGTGTTTCAGACTTTTGGCCTATCATTTAATTACCATATTTATCGCTCTCCTCCACGTTATCATGTCAGACTAAAATGATATTTCTGCAGATATTTGCGCGGAAAAAGTACTTTCCACTTATACTTTGGAGTTACAACATATTTTTTCTTGTCTGTAATCGGATTTATGAAGGATATTCTTTTTCTATGTTTGGGTAAGATGCATCCATTTTGTTGTATTTACACATTGTCTGGTAGGTGTAATTCTATTCCGACTTAAGATTATGTATTTATATTGCAGGCAACAATGGAGATTTTTGGACAATTCTCGGGGCAGCTTTAGGTGGCACATATGTTTCAACTTTGGTATTTATTGAGTTTCTATAGCATCTAAAATTGAGTGTCTCTTTTTTCCCATCTTGCTGGTTGGACGATTCTCATCTGTATGATCCATCACCAGCATTCATATTTGTGTAATGCAAATTGCGAACTTGATCATTCCTCACTGAATTTGAAACTGTTTTCGTCTTATGCTGATTTTTTAATTAAGACACTTATGGGCTGGAATATTAAAATTTGGTGATCTTACATTTACTAACATTTTATATTCATGTCTTGGTATAACATGATGGGAAATATAGATTTCTTTATATCTAAGCATAGTTGTTTTGGCAGTTGTTTTGCGCATGATAAGCTTTGGATTGGATTATCATTGGACAAATGAAGATTCTCATTTTGATCCGGAGGTATTACTATCTTAAGGAATATTGTATTTGTTTGTTTTGAGTATAAGTTTCTATTCTACAGTCGCTCTCTTAACTTGGCATGGTTGTGGTGATGATTATTCATTATATTGTTGGGGCATATGCTATTGGAACTTTATAACTGTAGAGTAACTTTTGATATTACCTCATAGTAGTGGCACTGCATAGAACTTAGGCTGTGTTTGATTTCTAGTTGAATAATTTTTCCTTGGGCACTTCCCTTAGCAATTATATAAGGCCTAGCTGGTTTAAGTTTAATTTGGTTTTAGTGTACTTGTGTTTGTACAGATTCACTTATGGTCCGAGAGAAACCATGTGATTATTTTAAGCTAAGATCTATATTCTATAACGAAGTTGTCCTCATGTTGCTTAAGCAGTTGTCCTCGTGTTGCTTAAGGAAATCTGTTAAGCAATACATTGGTTGAAACATGCTAGCTTTCAATATCAGTGTCTAATGCCCATTTTGTCATGTAGCTATTGACATGTTAATTGGTTAATGTGATCTATAATAATTTTCCCAATATTAAGTTCTTTTATGATTGCAGAAACATTCTCAACGTTGTCATATTTGCAAATCAGGAAACACATGCTATCAAGCTTTACAGGTTAGAAATTAGAATAGCTGCTGTTTAAAATAAAGCTTGGGGTAACATTTATCACAGTTGTGAAGTTATGTTCTACTTTTCTTTTTCCCCTCTAGTTTTCCATTATTGTAATTATATAATTTCCTTTGGGCATGTGGTGACATGTTTTCAGCTCATAATTTTAATTACATTATCAGGAGGGAAGTCTGCATGTCAACAAGTTTGGATATGTCGTATACCTTTGTTATTTGGTCTATGCACCACTTTATATTGCCGGTCCAATAGTGAGCTTCAACGCATTTGCCTCACAGGTGTGCGACTGCAAGTTATTTTTATGATATAAGTTTCAAGATTGACTTTCATTACAATTGTATGGTTGTGATCTTTGTGAAACCTTTAGGGCTGAAGTGCATCCTTGTCATGTTATTTGAGAGCCATAATCAGACGTGCTCCTTTTCTGCCCTGAATGTTTCTTGCCTTGCTAATTGTTAGTGGTCGCTTGAGTCTTTTTTATGTTGATGATACTGGTTCTAATGTTTTTGCAGCTAGATGTTCCTCAAAATAGTAATTCAGTTAGAAATGTGATACTCTATGGTTTCCGCTGGGTATTGTGTTTTATCCTTATGGAGCTCATGACACATCTATTCTACTATAATGCCTTTGCTAATAGGTGAGTGCTCTGGTACTCTGTAAAACATCACGTGTTATATTTAATTTCTTAATCTAATTTTATCCCATGGTAACTGAAATGTTTTTCTTCAATCAGTGGATTGTGGAAGCACTTGTCTGCTATGGACGTGTTCATAATTGGATACGGGGTAAGAGAATACATGTCCATCAACTTACATAAGTAGTTTTACTAAGCCTAATGACATCAACTGATAGATGTAGCTTAACCTACCCACTGAGATACTAAGACTTAGTGGTGTGGGTTGTTATAGTTTGAAAACTATACTTCCAATTTAGGTTAGCATGTACTTTTCTCATTTCTGATTATGTATTTGTTTCAGGTCTTAAACTTCATGTGGCTAAAGTTTTTATTGATCTGGCGCTTTTTCAGGTTCTGGTCACTGGTATGTTACTTGTTTTTTAAGCATCTATATGTCCACACACAGACACACACACATGTAGAGAAAGTCATTACTTTTGAATTGTGTTGTAGGTGAATGGAATTGAGGCTCCAGAAAATATGCCAAAATGTATTAATAATTGCCACAGCTTGGAAGGCTTTTGGAAAAATTGGCATGCTTCCTTTAACAAATGGCTTGTGAGGTGCAATCAATTCTTTTACCGTGACTTTCCATTTAGCTTTACTTTTTCCAAATAATAACTTCAATTTGACTGGCTAGAAATTCAGGTATATGTACATTCCTCTTGGAGGATCTCGGAAAAAGCTCCTAATTGTATGGGTTGTATTCACTTTTGTTGCTGTCTGGCATGATTTAGAGTGGTATGCTCCTGTTATTGCTCAGTTTAATCCATTATAGTTTTGAAAGCCACTCATTCTTTGACCAAATATATTAATGTTTGATTGATTATTCTCATGAACCTTAGGAAGCTTCTTTCATGGGCGTGGTTGACATGTTTATTCTTTATCCCTGAGTTGGTATTAAAATCATCCGCAAAAGCATTTCAGGTAACGTATATCCTTGTTTTTCTCTAAATTTATTCAATGGTCCGAAAGTGTGATTCTTACTGCTTAATTGAGTTAAATTTGAATATCAGGCTCAAAGTTCTTTTCGGGAATTTGTATTTCGTGAACTCAGTGCTGTTGCTGGTGCCGTCACAATCACTTGTCTCATGGTTTGTCCTTGGTTTCCCTTGGAAGCTAAGCATATATGATTATTATAGCTATAATTCTTACTTACTCTCAGTCACAGTGACTTCAGTAACCATTATTTTATCTGGCCGAGTGGTTTCCATTTCTGTTTTGGTAGATACTCTCACAAATCTAATTTGAAAGCCTTGACTTTTGTTTTTTGTAACAGGTGGCAAATTTGGTTGGTTTTGTTATTGGACCAAGTGGTATTAACTGGTTAATTTCTTCTTTTCTTCACAAGGAAGGTCTGTTGAGATCCTTAGCTTTTTAACATTACAAAAGTTACATACATTTTCAATTAATTACGAAATTCCATTTCACAGGGTTGCCTGTCCTTGGGGGCTTGCTTACGACATTTTACGTTGGAACAAAGGTATAAATATTTTAAAATTTGTGTTTTCCATTGTTAGAATGCTTATTTTTTCCTTGTTTTCTAATACTGTTCTACATGTGTATCTGCAGCTTATGTTTCATATAGAAGAAGTAAAGAAAACGTCTCCGTGAACCGTAAAAGTGCATGACCATGATACTTGGATCAAATTCATGTTTAATGCTGGGAGTTTCATATCTGATACAGAATGGTTTGTTTGGCTTGGAGGTATCTGTTGGTATGACTCTTGACCCATTTTTCAGAATTGCAGATGCATTGTACATCAAATTGGGAGTCACACGATCAAAATTTGTACACCGCACAATGTAAAATAACATTGGTAACAGGAAATTAATAGGGTAGATTCATAATGATACTCGGATTGCTCCTTCTCCCCTGCTTTTTCATGGCTGAGAAAGGTATCAAACCTTGAATTCGTTGATATCTTACACTGCAAATTTGCTTTTTTGTTTTGTTTTTTGTTCTCGTGTTTTCCAAGTATCTGTTTGTATATCAGTAGTTCTATTTTTTTTTTTTTTTGCAAAACTATTTCAATGATCTTTGGTTATTTCGTAGATACTGTTGCCTGCTTATTTAGTTATTAAGGTTTAACTGAAACCTTTCAATTTATCAACAGAATATCTCTAACTGCATAACAATAAATTATGTCTGGAAATGAGTTCTAGCCAGAGTCAAATTCGTTATTTGCATAATCTGGCAGCAATTGTTTTACAGCATCTGCAGCTGCATCACTCAGACGAGCCTATACACAACAAACTCAGGAAATTAAAACCATGCTGCATAATCTCTTATGTTTGGTTACCCCGGGCGATGTATCAAGTAATGGCATGTCCTTCTTCTCCCCACCCTTGAATGTTTTGAACCAAAAAATGAATGACAATATTGCCACTAATTTTGTTACACTCCATTTCTGTTTCTTTCAGTTTTCTGTGCAAATTGTCCTTTGAGATTAAATATAACGTTTGTATGTGTCTTTTGAGAAACCTGTTAATTAAGGTAGTTAGTTATTAAGGTGAGAGATTGAGTTTTAAAGTTAACGTTCTTTAAATTTGTTTGTGCTATATGCCTAATGTTTAAATTTTTTATAAATGTGTAATGTCACTGGAGAGGATCCTTGTCCGAAATAAATGAACATTGGAAATTTAATTGATTTTAGAAATGAAGTCAAATTCAAATAGACCCTGCAAATTAGCAAAAATGCCAAAATGTTTTTTTTTAAACATGGCTAAAGCAATATCTAAATAGTAAAGTTGTGATCAATTTAGGAAATAACAATATCTAAATAACTAATATTTTCTTTCAAAAAATCTCAATTAATATTTTTTTTTAAGAATCAAATACTATAGTCAAAATTACATCTGAGATCCTTTAAATTATTTGTGTGAAAAGTTGATTATTAAGTTTTTTTTTCTAATAAATTGGTCATTTAAGGTTGTGCACCATTACCCTTTAGAAATACAACCGTCATAGTCATTTAAAACTATTAGAAGTAACTAAGGACCTATGTTTGTTTTAGTTTTAAAAAGATTATAATTTTTTTTTTGAATTTTGTAAAATTGTTTTTCAAAATATTACAAGTTTTTCTATAGTTAGTTTTTTTAAATTTGCAAGATTAATTTTACTATCGTATAACATAAATATATATTATTGAAGATTAAAATATAATCGAAATCACAATTTAAAACAAAATTGTATCTTACAAATTATTTTTATGGAAAGCTATTTTAAATAGCTAATTTTATTTTGAAATTTTAATATCTATTTTTTTTTAATAAAATGATGAAATTTCTAAAATAACATTTTAAGAATAACTATTTAAACTAAATTTCTTTACGCTGAAGCATACTACAACAAGGTTGCGTAAACTGACTCCTACAGATTTGCTAAATATTCTGTTTTGGTGTCATATTCTCGCTGTATCTTTAATACACTAGATAAATCAGCATTGCGTTTGGACCAAGGGTCCACTCGCCACACACTTGCACATCATTCAGATAAATGATTCTTTTTCAAAATTTGCATGAACATCGCTTTAAAATTACCATTTTTGAATGAATAATTTTAATTACAAATCAGTACTTTACATCAAGGAGATTCCAACAAGGGGCAATTAAGGAGGAATACGAACTCTCGTTGGTGTTGACCCGAATCAAGACTACCTCAAAACCCTATGAATATGGGAAAAATCATCTCAAAGGCTCAACCTGAAACAAGACTCATACCATATCCGGATCTGGAGCAAATCATGTCGCGGTAACTCTCAAAATTTCCAGTAAAATTCTTTCAAGAATTTAACAGACTAGGATAAATCAAGTTGCAAGGGGCATATCTTCTTTGTACTTTCAAGTTGGATAAACAGATCTTTCCAGACACTAACAACCACTGAGTTCATAGCAAAAGCACAATCTTCAGGCGTTGATTACGTCGCTACACTCATTTTCAAGCCATCCTAATCCTCATGCATAAAAGTTGTGGTTCTCTCATGAATGAACACAGTTTGTCAACAAGTAATCAAACTTGAAAGGCTAGAGCATCCGGTTCCATTCTCCGATCGTAGCATTGTCAGAGATCGAGTGTCGGGGAGTCAGCCCCAACCTATCCAATCACATATCTGCATTAAAACATGCATCATGGATCATATGCATTATAAGTATCATTGCATACATTATCATAATTCATATACATCCCCAATATTTGCATCGTATTTCCATCTGATATGAAATACTTTTCACAAAATTAAACATGCATGCATAAGTCAGGATCAAGGATCAATCACGAGATTCTAGGTTGATCCTCAACCAGACCAATGGGTTTTCCCATGAAGTTGTTCTCTTCAACTTTTTGTTGATGAAGTTGTACTCTTTGGATCAGATCATTCATTGGTGTACCTCCAAGCAGAGTTCTTACCAAGTGTTGTTCAGCGGGCGTTCTCCATTGAGTTGTTTTCTTTAACCTTTTGTTGATCTCCCCAAGCCAGTCTTACTGCCATACTTTTGGTGATAGCAAGATTTGTGGTTTCAATTTCATCCTTTTGGTGATAGTGATCATTAAAGTATGTGTTTGTTATCATCCTTTTGGTGATAGCGAGTTGTGATATTACCTACATCCTTTTAATGTCGGTAATCATTAAAGTTAGAAATTTACCATCATCCTTTTGGTGATGGCAAATTGTATCGTTACTATCATCTTTTTGGTGATAGAAACTTGTGTATTTACTGTCATCCTTTCGGTGTCAATAAATGTTGAAGATTGGGAACTTACTATCACCATTTTGGTGATAACGAGTGATGTGTGTTTACTATTATCCTTTTGGTGATAGAATCATAATCCTTTTGATGTCAGTGATCTTTAAATTTAGGAATGTACTATCATCCTTTTGGTGATAGTGAATGGTGATAGAACTGTCATTCTTTTGATGTCAGTGATCTTTAAGGTTGGGAATTTACTATCATTTTTGATGATAGCGACTTGTGTTATTACCTTCATTCTTTTGATGTCGGTGATCTTTAATATTGGGAGTTTACTACCATATTTTTGGTGATAACAAATTATGTTGTTACCTTCATTCTTTTGGTGTCAGTAATCTTTAAAGATTGTGTACTTATTGTAACACCCCAAAACTTTCCCTTTCGTTTTAATCGTAACTGGCTTATGCTTCGTTTATTTGGATTATCATTGTGCATATCATGGCATTGGTTTTTGAGACATGAGAGCAATTTGTTTCTATAGCTCAAGACTTCTTTTATTACAAGTTTTTTAATCAGCAAGCGTCAGAGGTTTTAACATTTATTTTGCTCAGCAATTGGGCACCCAATTATATTATTTAGCAGGTTATTTTGAGCGCAGGAGACAGTTCACAATTTATTTTAGGCAATATACATGTGCAATATCAAATGACAACTTTCAGAGGCCAAACAATGCTCAGAACAGGTGGCAACAGGCAATTCTCCACGTTTCCTTCTTTATGGCGCCAAAATTTGAATTTTCCAAGGAGTTAACTGTAACACCCTTCTAAATTCCTCAGAATAAATATAAAATAATCAGAGTAAATTATCATGCATCACACAAAAGGGTATCACATATATTTTCAAAACATCACACCAACACCTGTCATGCTCAATAACACTTAAAATAAATTCATATTTTTCATACACTTTCACATTAGCATGTAACAACGGATTTACTTCAATCATAATAGACATAATGAAAGTCTCATGCTCAATCTCATTCATAATTAATACTTAGGCATAAAAATCAATACTCCACATAACTCAAATAAAAATAACAACAACAAAATAAAGTAGAGTACATAAAGTATCTCTCAAAACATAAATTGAAATGTTCCCAGTGTTATAAGATCAGAGCACGACTCAACCCAAAATAAATAAAGAAACTAAAACAAGCTATTCCAACGGCTACCTCGTACTAGAAGCAAATATACTCTTCGGTACCTGAGCGATGCCATACAAACATCATTCTAACAGAAGGGTGAGAATTCACATAATAATTGAAATCATAAGATAATATATAATATAACATACAAGTATAATATAATGAATCTCACACTCCAAAAGTTTCACCAACAATTTATCATTTCAAGTAGTCATACATTTTACAAATATATACTCACAATTCCATAAATTCACCGATTCATCAATTTCACATATTACACATAATCTCATAATGCAAACATACACCCAGTGCGACTCAATGCACGACTCAAATGCAACTCATGCAATGTGGTACCAAACACAGTTATTATTTTTTAGTTTTTACATTAAAGCAGGTCCGTTTCCTAGACCAATAACACACAAAGAGTCAATTCCCTAAGTTTTCAAACCCCGCTCTAGGTTTGGGACAAGTCACTAGCTCCCACAAAACTAACAAGCATTGCCTCTTGACACAAATGATGCGTATGCAAATTCAACAATCATATGCAATTAATACCATACACAAATCTTAATATCCATGCATATCTTCAACAATTCGTCACACTTGAATTACCACACATTTGCACACACACAAGTATCAACACAATTCAACCTCAATTCACAAACACATATTGCCGAATAAATTTAAAATAATTAATCTATCCTCAACAATTAAATTCAAT